TTTTTGCTTATGTGGTGCTGAGGAATCGAACCCAGGGCCTCATGCATGCAAGGCAAGCACTCTACCACTGAGCCACCTTCCCAGCTCCTTAAATGTTTATCTTAAACCTAGAAGGTAGTAAGTACTTTACTATCTTGGCAATCTCTTTGGTACAGTTGGAGAAATTAAGATGAAGTTCACATAGCCAAGCGATATAACTAGTGAGTAGCCAGGACTTGCACCCCAATGCTAACACTATGGTTTCAAATAACAATAAATTGATTCTTGGATGAGGTACTTTTTAAAATGTTATCACATAGCACATACCAAATTATGAACATTGATTTTATGTCTATTGCTTAATTTAGTATTACTACATTTTTAGAGTGGGAATATTGAAGTTGAATTTTACTCTTGTCTTTTGCTTGCTTTAGGTGGTTTTCCCGCTGCATCCTCCAGAATACAAACACCAATATTGCGGACTGTTTAAAAGTCTTCATGACTGGTACTAAAATTACATCAGTTAGAGGGTGGGCTCCAAGGATTGTCCAATAGACCCACATTTTATGTGCTTATAAACAGACAAGCTAGGCAGAAGCAAACTCACTAAACTTGCCAACTGTCACCTAGTTGGGTATCCCAAATTTATGTGCCGACTCTACAGGCTAAAAAGTCGGACTGTGTGGCACTTATCTTTGTGTGGTAAACAAAAATCCAAAAGGGACAAAAGTTTGTGATTGCTGGTGGTCTCTGGAAAGCAGTCTGAAGACAAAAAGAAAACTGCCAAAAGAAAGTAGGCTTATGACAGAGCTGTGTAAGTCTAGACACAGGAGACTAGTCTCTGGCTCTAAGATAGCCATGCTTACAGGCAAACTGTGGCAAAATGGGAAATGATAGAGAGATGGCAGAGTAGAAAGGAGACCCTAATTCACAGTGCATGGCTTCTAACTGCGTGCAGATCACCTCTCTTCCAGTCTGTATTTTCCAATCTGTAAACGGGGGTGATAATTTTTTCAAATGAACTTGGTGAACACGTCGATCATCCAGGATATATGATTATCTTCTTTCAAACTGAAATGAAATTTTTAAAATAAACTCTTCTAAAATAAAATGTATAGTATGTGCATGAAAAGAATTATTGCACTCTTACTTTGTCCCTCATTTCAAAACTTGGTAAATATTTCTTTTAGCAATTGTTATTGAAAGTTTCTCTGTGTAGAAGTTAACATACAATTCCTACTCCTAGACAGTTTCTACAGGGAGTAGGTGGAAAAGTCTTTTTCATATGTTTTTATATTTTCATTGGGGAAGAAAGTGGTACAAATAGATCATAGTCTATATCTACTGAGAGAAGTTAAAGGCTAGAAGAAAAAGGCAAATTAGTAATAATCTGGTTGTCTGTCAAATAAGGTAAACTTTGAATTTGTTGCTTAAATATTAAAATTGGGCTAAAGACATATACTAAATTTAAGAATATAACATGTCATAGAGATCATCAAGTAGAGATGAAAGATGCTCCTAAAATCTTTCACTCTTACTGCGCTATAATGCAAACTAGATATATCTCTATTCTGAATTACCCAAATTAGATATTGCCCTGTTTGTTTTTTAAACACTGAAATATGATGTGGGAATACTCTTTTTGGCTGGCATCATTCTTATACCAACTATTGCAGGAGCACTGAAAAAATGGTTCAAGTACAACCACTATTTGCCAGCACGGATAATCGTGTATCGAGATGGTGTCGAGGCTGGCCAGCTAAAAACAATTCTTGAATGTGAAGTCCCGCAACTGCTGAGCAGCATCAGAGAATCCAGTCCAAGTTCCAGGTATTTATTGCTCTTTCTCTGCCACTCCCAATGATCGCATGTTCACCTGCAACTATTAAACACAAAGTGTACAAACATGACTTTCTATGCAATGTGCTTCTGCACCATTTCAGTATGGCTGTATAGATGTTCCAAGGGTAGTCAAGATGGCCTCACATAGACTGCAAACAGAAACTCTGGGGGCCCGAGATGGGTCACCTAGAGAAAGGCAGATACGTTGGAGGCAGCTGACACAGACTCACAGAAAGTCTTCAGGGCTGCTGGCAAATAAAGATGATTATTTTGCTTATTTTAATATGTATAAGAACGTATATTAACGTGCCTAGAAAATAGCCTGCGATTTCAGATTGAAGGCACAAGTAACACACGAGAATAAATTGTAGGCTCTAGTGTGCTGAGTTAGTTATGGTGCTGAAAAGTGCTGGAAGGTGTGGGAACCATGAAAGAAATCCAAGCGGTGGATGCAAATCAGACTATCTTGAACACAAAGCACTGGCTCCCTTGTTGCATTTGTACATTCAGCATTTCAGTACAGATTTTTTCTTGGTGAGAATGTCGTGTCAAAGGCAAGAAAGATGTAACAATGCAAAATTAGATATAACAATGCAAGATTAAGCCGGGTGCCATTGGCTCACGCCTGTAATCCTAGCTACTGAGGAGGCTGAGATCTGAGGATCATAGTTCAAAGCCAGCCCGGGCAAGGAAAGTCTGTGAGACTCTTATCTCCAATAAAAACCACTAGAAAAGTGGAAGTGACGCTGTGGCTCAAGCGGTAGAGCACTCGCCTTGATCTGAAGAGCTGAGGGACAGTGCCCAAGCCCAGAGTTCAAGCCCCACGATCGACCAAAAAAAAATGCAAAATTAGGGCTGGGTGCCAGTGGCTCATGCTTGTAATCCTACCTATTCAGGAAGCTGAGATATGAGGATCGCAGTTTGAAGCCAGCTCAGGCAGAAAAGTCTGCGAGAATATTATCTCCAAAAATAACCACCAGAAAACTGGAAGTGGTGCCAGTGGTAGAGAGCTAGCATTGAGCAAAATTGCTCAGGGACCCAGAGTTCAAGCCCCAAGACTTTAACAAAGAAAAAGCAAAATTAGGAAGGACAATAATCGCAGGTTCAGTGATACACTGCACTCTGTAACTGCCATCAACCAAAGTCACACAAGACTTGCATCTTGACCTCAGCCAGTTATTGTTAGGAAAATCCTAACTACTCCCTATACAAGGTCACTGAAGCTACACCCAGATTTCTCCCCCTGATTTCAGGTGAATGTATCTCAAATGAATGATTAAAAATAAGAACTTCAATATGCAATTAAAAGAGGCAGAAGTAAGTTCTGCAACTGAAGGAGATAGACATTACTTTTCTTAACCTGTGACATCAACTATTAAAAACATCAATATTGAAAACATTCAAGTGGGACAATTGTGACTCACACCTGTAATCTGAGCTACTCAGGAGGCTGAGATAGGAGGATCGTGGTTCAAAGCTATAGCCCAGGAAGTAATGTCCATGAGACATTCTCTGATGAACTAGCAAAAAGCCAAAGTGGCTTGAGCTGTGGCTCAAGTGATAGAGCATTAGCCTTGGGCTCAGGCTCTGAGTTCAAGCCCTACGACCTACACAGAGAGAGAGAGAGAAAGAGAGAGAGAGACAACATTCAGAATTAATTTCAAATTAATTACAACGTTCAAGCTGAAACTTCACATTGATCCCTGCATCTCAGAAGTCTTTATATGATGGTGAATACTGAGATTTGTCCTTGACTTTATGAAGTATTTTAGCACTTGGCAATCAGCATTTACCCACACATACATTGGTCAAATCCATTCACCTGAGGAATGTTGGTTTTGTATGATCCATAAGAGACGAGTAACAGGAACTCATGATTATTTCTTGCTACTCAGAAATACACTCAAGAGGAAGAGTAAAGGGAAAAATAAGGTGACTCCTGTTAATGGGACAAAATGTCTCCATGAATAATTCTGGAAAGTATTTTCCTCAAAATTCAATCAAAGCCATGTACTGGTGGCTCATGCCTAGAATCCTAGCTACTCATAAGGCTGAAATCAGAGAATTGTGGTTCAAAGACAGCTAGAAGCAAAATGCTGGAATGGAGGGGTGACTCAAGTGTCAGAGACCTGGCCATGAGCAAGCAAACCCAGAAAACACAAGGCCTCAAGTTCAAGCCATGGTACTGGCTAGCATATGTGTGCATGTGCACACTTGCAATGGAAGTTCATTGTTCTACTGACCATTCTTCCTGCCCTTTAAACAGTATAAATTAGCAAATGATTTGCCATAATACTTTTCACAACTACTGAGAACAATCTACTTGGAGAGTTGTATATTTCTCTAAGGAAGGAAGTCTTTTCTTTATTTTGTGGTGTTTTCTAGTGAATTTTATTTATTTAATATTTAAAATTACGAAACTACGTGGATTGCTTTTCTGTTTCTGACTTCTGCCTACAGGCTGTCCATGGTCGTGGTCAGGAAGAGGTGCATGACCTGGTTCTTGACAAAAGTGGGTTACACCCTTAAGAACCCTATTCTGGGCACTGTTGTGGATTCAGAAGCAACACATCCTGAGTGGTAAGAGATCTTGGAAAAAATATAGTGATCATTCATTATGTGTTCTTTAGGTTTGGGCTCACTCTATTTAATTTCATTTTATGATCTTCAGGTATGACTTTTATTTGGTCAGCCAGACTGCCCATAATGGTACCATTAACCCCACCTACTATAATATCATCTATGATGACAATGGCTTGAACCCTGACCACATTCAGAGACTGACATTCAAACTCTGCCATCTGTACTACAACCGTCAGGTAAGTAAGACTATTTACTGATGGTACTCAAGAATCCCATCTAGCTGGACAAAACTCGGAAAGAAGACAAGTGCTTCAAAGAACAAGATTATTTCTTGATGATCATCTTGCTTTTCCTTCCTCAGGGTCTGATCAGTGTCCCAGCACCATGCCAGTACGCACACAAGCTGACCTTTCTGGTGGCAGAAAGCATCCACAAGGAGCCAAGCTTGGGCCTGGCTGATTGTCTCTTCTACATCTGATGACTTCGTCATTAGCATCATTTCATGAAAATGCAGCAAGTAGTTGATAGTTGAAACGCTTCATACAAATCTGCCAAAAGCTAACGGAGCGGCGGGGGTGGGGGGAGGTGGAGGTTGGGAAGGCTCAAATTTACTTTTAACTTACTTTTTTAACTTACTTTTAACTGAGGGGGAAAAAACTACAAATGCCTTAGTTTGAAAAAGTTATAAAGACAAACAAGCTGTGGGCTCATACCTGTAATCCTGGTTACCCAAGAGGCTGAGATCTGAGGATTGTAGTTTGAAGTCAGCCCCAGGAGGAAAGTCCTTAAAATTTTCTCTAACCACCAAAAAGCCAGAAGTACATATGTGACTCAAGTTGTAGAAAGCTCAGGGACAGTGCCCAGGCCCTGATACAGGACCAACACACACACACACACACACACACACACACACACACACACACACACACACACATACATACTACAATATTTTAAGTTTTATGTTTGGAGTAAATTCTTTTTTTTTTGGTCGGTTGTGGGACTTGAACGCTAGGCTTGGGCGCTATCCCTCAGCTCTTTAGCTCAAGACGAGCGCTCTACCACTTGAGCCACAGCACCACTTCTGGTTTTCTAGTGGTTTGCTGGAGATAAGAGTCTCACAGACTTTCCTTGTCCGGGCTGGCTTTAAACTGTGATCCTCAGAGCTTAGCCTCCTGAGTAGCTAGGATTTCAGGTGTGAGCCACAGGTGCCTGGCATGCTTGGAGTAAATTCTTAATGTAGCATGCAATTAAAATATCCCATCACGTAAAATAATCTCACCAACTTAAATATTGCCTGTTCTGTGCATGGGTGATGGTAAGTGAGTGAGGTCTGATTTCCCTCTCTGAACCTGGGCCTATGCTTGCGAGGCAAGTGATCTGCCACTTGAGCTGGGTTCCCAGACCCAGAGGCATTCTTAAATAATATTATAGACCATATTTTGAAATAGTTTAAATAATTATTCGAAAGTAAGGAAATTTAGAATATCACATATGTTTATTGTTACTGGATTTTTTGTCAGTCATAAGGGCTTGAACTCTGGGCCTGGGCACTGTCCCTCAGCTCTTCAGCTCAAGGCAAGCACTCTACAACTTGAGCCACAGCACCACTTCTGGTTTTCTAGTGGTTTATTGGAGATAAGAGTCTCATGGACTTTGTGCCCAGGCTGTCTTTGAACCTCGATCCTCAGATCTCAGCCTCCTGAGTAGCTAGGATTACAGGTGTGAGCCATGAGCACCCAGCTTGTTACTGGAATTTTAAGTTGGCATTTAAGTGAACCCCTCACTATCTAGTTTTAGCAAAACCCAACCCACTTGCTCTTGTGATGTACATTTATTTCAGTTAATATCAGCCATTCTGGGTGTTGTACATGATTCTTTGTTCTGATTCTTTCCTCTCTTTTCTGCATCACCATTTTCCCCTTAACAATCCCTTTCCACTGTTATTATAATTATTTCTTCCATCTTAAAACATAAACCAAGAAATGTACTCATTGCCTTACTCATGTAACTGTAACCCCTCTGTACCTCATCTTTACAATAAAAAATAAAATTATGCCCATTTAAGTATAAACAATAAACCATTTATATGTCTAGGTACCACTCTATGTCTTTGCTATTCTTTATAGAAACGTGTAAAAGAATAATCTGTACCTGATACATCCAGTTGCTATCAAAATTTCACCACATCACTGGGTCAACATGGTGTTGGCCAAGGCACCAATAACCTCCACTTTGCTAAGTTTGCCAGTCAGTGGTCAGTGTTTCCCATGTCATCAGAGGCAGGTTTCACCTCGCCTCTAGGATAACGTGATCTCCTAGCTGGGTCACTTAGTCTTACTCTCCCTTGTTAGCATATTTTCTTCTTAACCCTTCCATACCTGATGATGAGAGCATGTCTATATGCAAAAGATATTTTCATGAAGAGAAATTTCTGATGTCAAATTCTGCTTGCAAGAAGAAAGGTGACATGGAAGGCCCCAATTAGGAGAGTGGCACATTCTCTTTATGGGACAAGTCATAGCCAGTGGCCAGAGGCACTAGTGTAGCAGTCATTCTACATTGCACTGACACATTGTTTTCAAGTGAAGAAGATTAAACACATTATAGACATGATTAGAAATATCACAAAGAACTGGGCTCTGATGGATCACACTTGTAATCCTAGCTACTCAGGAGGCTGAAATCTGAGGATTATGATTCAAAGCCAGCCCTGGCAGGAAAGTCCATAAGACTCTTATCTCTAATTAACCAACAGAAAACCGGAAGTGGCCCTGTGGCTCAAGTGGTAGATCGCTTGCCTTGAGCTGAAAAGCTGAGGGACATTGCCCAGGCCCAGATTTCAAGCCCCATGACCAACAAAAATAAAAGATGTCATACAATTCAAAGGTGATGATGAGATTAACAATGCTTAGAGTGGTAATTTGTCCTCATGTTTGTTTTGTTTGACAGCAAAACCTGTACAATAAGCCACAGGACTCTGCTACCTTATTTAAAAAATACCTGCAAGAGTTTAAGTTTTTCTCCCAGAGCTCTTCTTAAGGAAGGGCACTTATATACCATGCCTTTGAAACCAAGGTACTGTACTGATACAAGTCGTTGTCTTTGTTTTCATGGTTTGGTTTGGTTTGGTTTTTTCTCTGAGCTCAAGGCTCGCATTCCACCTCTTGAGCCACAGCTCCACTTCCAGCTTTTTCTGAGTAGCTTATTAAATAGAGAAAGGAGTTTCATGGACTTTCTTGCCAGGGCTGACTTCAAAGCATGATCTTCAGATCTCAGCCTCCTGAGTAGGATTACAGGCATGAGCCACCAGTGCTCCCAACTCTTCTTATGTTCTTATGTGTTTGTTCTTCTGTTGCTATTTTCTTCCTTAAAAGCACAGGGTCAAGTAGAGCAAGACTACCTAATCAGACCTTGTATGAGACTACATTTTGACTTATACGTATAAGACTACATACTGATTGATACTGCCTAAGACAATGGCTCCTTACCCTCTTCACCCACCAGGGGGCAGACTAGAACTGCCTATGGACAAGCCTGTGTACATCTGATCAGTTTGGCATTTTGTGTGAAAGAGCTATCAGAATAAACCACTGAATAAGTGGACAGTTTTCTGTTCCTTCTCTCCTACTTCCTGATTTGGGACCCAGGGTCCTTACTGCATTCTGTAGCTACTAAACTTGTCCTCCCGAAGCTCCCCTAACTGTACTCTTTGCCTCTGTGAAGTGGTCTGTTCTCCAAAGAATTCTAACTTTTGTAAATCTACCCATGGATCAAAATTTCCCTCCCTACCAGTAGCTGATATGGAGACTGGGTTCAGGCTGGGCCTCACAGCACATGGGGTTCAGTTTCCACGTAGCCCAGCAGTGAAAGGTTTCTCTTCTCAGAAGTGCTGTGAAGGCCACCAAGACTGCATATCTGACATCTCAAGAATTTGAGAACAGTATAAGTACGTTAAAAAAAATAGCAAGCAAGAAAAAAAAACCCTTGTGTCCCTATCTTGGGGTACATTTTGTTTAACATTATCTCATATGGTCATATGTACATTTTTTTGTAAGTTCTTCCCCCACGGTATAATCCCTGTTTTCACCGTATTTGATTCTGGTGTTCTGCATCTTGTATATATATTTTGGTAATTTGGGGAGGGGAAGGAGTATAGCAGAATACTTAAATGGGGATGCAGGTTGACCCATTGTGACGATGAGATGTACAGGACACTATTCTGAAAACTAACTTTACAATGTTGGGGGGGGGGAGGAGTTGGGGAGGTGGGGAGGGAAGTGATAGGGAAAAATCAAAGGAGGAGGTAACAATGCTTGATAGGAAATGGACTCATTACTCATGTAACTGTAACTCCTCTCTACAGAATCTTTACAATGAAAAAAAAATAATAGCAAAAAAAAAAGAATTTGAGAACAGCTAAAAATGTTGGAGACACATTTCTAAGCAAGTCCTTCTGGTATCACGAAGCCCCACATCTGCCTGTCTTTTGGAACTGAAGACCACCAGCCCACTGCTTCATTTCTGCACTCCCAATGCCCATGTCAAAATCTGTTCTGGTAGTGCCACCATCCTGACGTGTGCTTCTGACAGAGTAAGTTCCAGCTGCAAGGCTGTCCCAGGCTTACACTAGGCACTTTGCTTGGCTTCACCTGTTCACCTGTGATCTTCACCACGTCTTGATGATTCACTCAGGACAGGTGTTAGTTAACACCCCTGTTCCATAGCTCAGAAAAGCAAGCTAAACCAAGGTGGAAATACTTGTTCATGAGCATACAACTGGCTTCAATGCACAGTTTTTCTAACTTGAAACCATACTCCTATCCTTTGTAGACCAAGGTAATATATGACAAGGAGCCTTTGCTCCTTCACTCTTTCTTTTCCTTCCTGCCTTTTTGTTTTTCATTTGGGAGGTAGGAACACAAAGTGACAGTCTGTAGGGTGTGGAGCTTAATCCAAGATGATGACAGTTAGCTTTGATAGTAATGTAGATCCTGCAACGAACTTTGGGGGCCCAGGACATGGAGCTGAGAGGTAGAACTGTGCATTTTTCAAAAGGATGTACAGCAAATACAAATACTCATAACATTTAGTGCAAATGCTTTGTGATCAGGGGAGGGGAACAATCATAATCTGAAAGGGAGAGTTGGCTTCAGTTCACCTACTTGAATTAGATTCTGCTCCACCTCAATATGGAGAACAAGGAGGTGTCCTTTCTGGGGAGGCACCTATTTCCAGAGGCTGTTTTGAAGAGAGGCCTGCCAGCCTGGTATTGAAAGGTAACTGGCATTCCTCTTTCATGCTAACTGGGAGGTATCCAGACCTGTTCTGGCAGCTGCAGGCAAAGATCTTTGTCCCTCTACCTCCCAGAAGAGATGGAAGTATTTGTGTGCAGACAGACTCAACAAGGCCTTAGACATCTCTTAAAATGAGCCCCAGGCATCAAAAGGAGGGAGACCCAGAATTCCTCCTTTCCAAATATA